AAATTCTCTTTTGAAGTCTGATTCTTTGCTTAATTTCTTAATGTAATTATATTTGGTCAAGAAAGACTTGTGTACTTTGTGCTTATATAGGGAGCCAAGAACCATGGAGTTGTCATGCCAGATGCTAATAAGGAAAACACACTGAACCAGCTGGTTGGGGCAGCGTTTGGAGCTGCTGGTCAGCGCTGCATGGCTCTTTCAACAGCGATCCTTGTTGGAGAAGCCAAGAAGTGGCTGCCAGAACTAGTGGAGCGAGCCAAAAACCTGAGAGTCAATGCAGGTAATCACCTACCTAGCTCCATTAGATCTGATGTGTGGCTCTAAACCCTTGATTTTAGCACTGGCCTGGGAGGCAATCATATCTGTTCTTACCATTGTTTTCTTATATTTGGCATTTGGATTCATCTTTTTGTTAATAGTCATAATTCACTTTACTAAAGACTTTAAATCCCTGATGTTTTGCAGGAGACCAGCCTGGAGCTGATCTTGGCCCTCTGATTACTCCCCAGGCCAAAGAGCGAGTCTGTAATCTGATTGACAGTGGAACCAAGGAGGGAGCTTCCATCCTTCTTGATGGACGAAGAATTAAAGTCAAAGGCTATGAAAATGGCAACTTTGTTGGACCAACCATCATCTCAAATGTCAAGGTGCCCAAGCAGAGATAATAGGTCATTGATAATCTGTGATTACAGGCAGTGACTGGGTTATGAACATCCAACTACAAACAACTCTTACTTGCCCTTTAATGCTATGTAAATTTGTACTCACTTTGAAATGACTGAACCCACCCTTACTGGAAACATATTCCTTAGCACATTCACCTTCATTTGCTGCGCTTGCAGCTTTTAAATCATTAAAAAGGCTTTGAGCCTTTTCTTGCTCTAACCCACCAAAAACCCACACCCACTGCCATTGAGTCAGGTGTCCTTATATAGGGCTTCCAAGCCTGTAAATCTTATCAGGAGCAGAAAGCCTCATGTTTCTCCTGTGGAGCCACTGGTGAGTTTGAACTGCAGACCTTGTGGTTAGCAGTCCAGCACTTATCCTGCAGCACCACCCGGGCTCCTTCTTCTTCACTAAAGTAAGACTAAATAAGTATTGTCTGCACTTGTTTTGACTTACCTTCATATGGAATTGCAAGATAATGAAGTTTTTCTACAAAATTTCTAAAGTCCCTCCAAATAGCTATTTCAATGTCTCAGTCAATATGGCAATCACTCAATATTTATTCAATGCCCAGTTTGTGCCCAACACTTTACTGTATCTTTACCAGAAAATGACAAAAGACAAATAACTGATCTGTCAGATTTTATTTATCAAAATTCTGAAAGTCTTAAGATGACTAAATTAATGTTAGGAGAGTTTTTTTTTAATTCTTCATTAATCTATTATAATCCTGAATAAGAAGTTGAATGTTAGTAGAAATTATGAACTCTCTTGCTATAAAACCATAGAGAACAGTCTACTTTTCAGCAACAAACATAACTGACTAAGCTGTGGTAGTCAAGGATGTTCTGAATATTTTGATCCGATATCAAAATATAAATGTACAAATTCATTTGGGAGACAAAGGGTTGAAGGAGAATGAATTGCGATTGTTACCAAAAACTTAGCACAGGGTTTTTTTAACAGAAAATGTCTCCTGTTGTGTTTAACATGCAACTCATTTATAAAAATGAGTTTTCATTTAAAAAAAAAAAAATGAGTTTTCATGAATATTTTCAATAACAACTTTTAAATTAACAAGTTGTACAATGTTAGAGCTAACAATGGGTCATGAGACCTCAAAGAACAGTGCTGGAAGGAAAGGTTAATAGGATGTTAAAAGGAGTTTCAAGTTGTTTATATAATTGGAGCATGGCAATAGAACACAGAGAAGAGGATTTAAGATTAAGAGACTGCTAACATGAATGCTGTCCATGTAAATGATGGCTAATATGTCAAAATAATAAGCTTAGAATCTAAGAGCTGACCTCTTTTCTGGATGCCTCATTCTTGGCAGCCAAATATGACCTGTTATAAAGAGGAGATTTTTGGTCCAGTTCTTGTGGTTCTGGAGACAGACACATTGGATGAAGCGATCAAGATTGTCAATGACAATCCATATGGAAATGGAACTGCCATCTTCACCACCAATGGAGCCACTGCTCGGAAATACTCCCACCTCGTGGATGTTGGACAGGTTTGTGAACAGAACTTTAGGAGATTTTTATAGCCATTTCCTGTTTCCTGTCTGAGGGAGACAGTAAACAGTGTTCAGTCATTGCAACTTAAAAATGACCCCTCTAATCTCCCAGAATGCCACTTTTCTTCCTGAGGAATGAAAATTCCCAGGATGGAAGATGGGGTGGAAGGTGGGCATTAAACTGATCTCTCTGGGTTTTTTGGTTTTTTTTTGGCTTGTATCTGGAGAGTTCCTTTGTGTGAGTTATTTTCTTAGTATTTGATATGGATATGTTCTGTTTTAGGTGGGTGTGAATGTCCCCATTCCTGTGCCTTTGCCAATGTTCTCATTCACCGGGTCTCGATCTTCCTTCAGGGGAGACACCAATTTCTATGGCAAACAGGTAACTTTAAAAAAAATTTTTTTTTCTCTAAGAAACTTTCTTGAACGTGTTTCAGGAGTAAGGATTCTGCAGAGAAAGACCTGCCAGCAGCTTCTGTGAGGTCATATGTAGTTCAGCAATGTTGTCAGTAGGTCCCCTAGAAAAGATTGAAAAGTTCACAAGATTTTGCTAAAGCTGTTTCTTCCTGAATAACTCAAGGTGATACAGTGTTGGGTAAGGAGCTTTTGTATATGCTGTAAACTTTCACTCAATTCACAATAAAAAGTTTAAATTTTAAAAAGTGATGAAAAGAGGAGACATGAAATCCCAGGGAATGTACGCTAATTCTCTTCATTTTACTTTACTCTGTTTAGGGCATCCAGTTCTATACTCAGCTGAAGACCATCACTTCTCAGTGGAAAGAAGAAGATGCCACTCTCTCCTCACCTGCAGTAGTCATGCCTACCATGGGCCGTTAGAAACAAGTCTGTTCCAGACTCAGTCCAGCCTGAGTAATCACCTGTATTCTTGACCAACTTCACTTGTCAACTTCGTTCAGATAAATAACCATTCCCTAGGATTGGAATACCTTGTAGCTAAAATCTTTCTCAGGACCAGTAGTCCCTGCAAAGTTGCTATAAGGAGACTCCTAGTGTAACTTTAAACCCAGATATTCACTTGCTCTTCCTACTTCTATTCTGAGGTAACTAACTGTGAAATGCTTATTGGGAAGGAGAGTTTAAGATGTTTTCTAAAAACTGTTCCTTTTTCTTGAAGGCTAATTTATGTAAAGATCTTCTAGTCACTGGAAGAGGAACTTCTGGGTGGAGAAATAAGACAGAAACAGCTCACCCTTTGGTTGGTTCTCAAACATAACCCCACACTACACAAAATAGAACCCATTTCTATTTAACCCAAAGGTTGACAACTGCTTTCTTTTCTACCAAATGCCACTTTGTTTTCCTAGCATAACCACTACTTAATTCTATCATTGCCTTTTAAAATCACCACTTCTCAAGAATACCTCAGTATGTATTGGATAAATCACTGTTTTTGTTATGCATGACAAATGTTAAATTTCAGGGTTTGCATCAGAAGTCATTAGTTAATGCTTCAGCCATTATTAACTAAGGCCTCTAAGATGCAAAAAATGTTTTAAGAAAACTTGTTATTTAGAAAACTGATATCAATAGTTATTTTAGGCCCAGAAATCAAGGAGGTGTTCTAACCATGAAAATGGATAAGAAACTTGCCTTAAGTGAGACTGGCTGATATGACTTGCCTTACTAGAATTTGGTATGTTCTTTCCTCTTGCCTGCATTTCTCATTAGTGATACTTAAAAATGAAAGCACACTTACGAGTTTGTGCTGTGCTGTGCTGTGCTGGACAGAATGGCTTCGGTCTTTTTTGCTCTACCATCTCCACTACCCCTGACTTTCTGATTAGGGTTTTTACGCAGTGAACTAGAAGGCCTATGGAGTACTCTCTGGTGCACAGCCAGATGGCATAGGTCATTGTTTTTCTGCTTCCTCATTAGTCACTTGCATAGTGCTAACCTACTCCATGAGGGTTATTTAGTGAATTAAGGATGGTGAGACACTCAAAATATTTGTGTACTCTACGGACTTTAGGATTATAAATTCTACTTGTTGCATAGAATATCAGAATTTTTCATCATTAAAGGTGACTGAAATGTTAAAAAAATGCATTTAAAACCTTGTTGTTATGTGCTGTGGAGTCAGTTCCGACTCATAGCGACCCTGTACAGGGTTTCTGAGGCTGTAAATCTTTACGGGAGCAGAAAGCCTCATCTTTCTCCTGCGGGTCTTTTTTTGGGTGGGGGAGCTTGTCTCCCTTTAGGTAAGGCAACAGAAATTTGTATTTTGAGAACAGACTGCCCCTTGGTTTACCTCAGCAAGTCCTGGTAGCACAGTGGTTCAAATTCAGCTGCTAACCAGAAGATCAGTGGTTCAAACTCACTTGCTGCTCCATGGGAGAAAGCTGTGACAATCTGCTCCCATAAAGATTTACAACCTTGGGGACCCTGTGGGGTAGCTCTACTCTGCCCTGTACCGTCACTAGGAGTTGGTTTTGGTGTAGTTGATCTCTGTCACAGCTGGCAAACTAGTAGTGACAGTTAATCCAGCCCAACAGCTACAGGCTGGATTGAATACAAGGTTATATTGTCTAAATTCCAAGTGGAATTAAATATAGGCGCCTAAGTTTTCCTTACATCTAAGGGAAATCACTTTTTTAAAAATACTGATTAATCAGACTTATGTTGCTATAATTGGAATCAGTTTATTTACTCACCTGGTCAGATACTTGCTTGTTAAGAAATGAGAAACTTGCTTGTTAAGAAATAAGAAACTCAGAACAGTTTCTTATTTCTTAAGATGAATAAAAAAAAAAATCTTTACATTTATGATCATTGCTAATAATAGCTAATGAATTCAATTCTTTCTTTTTGCTCTGATGTGATCCCATGTCTCAGATTCTGCATTATACTGATTATGAATAAAAAAGTTATAAAAACCTCTTAAAGAAAACACCTAGTTTGTTTTTTTAACGGTACCATACTTCCTTATAATGCCTTTGTTCCCTATTAAAACTAAGACACCCACCTCTATCATGAAGGTCATAAAAATAAAGAACCATGAATGTGACTGAAATAAGAAAAGTTATATTCTTACACATTTTGACTAAGCTATCTATTTCAAAAGGGAATCTATATGTATTCCACACTAAAAGAGGCAGAAGTACTCACTGACATTAAGTATACCCAGTACTATGCTGCATTATAGATGTTGTTGTTAAGTGCCACTGAGTCAGTTCTCACTCATAGTGACCCTATATAGGGTTTCTGAGGAATGACTGGTGTGTTTGAACCACTGACCTGGCAGTTGAAACCAACCTTGCCGTCCAGTGTTTATCCTACAGTACCACACAGGACTCCTTATTGTAGATATTTTTATGAAATTTTATTGTCTATCCTGGTGAGGTGCTCAAAGGGATCTGTGAAATGAACAGCAGCAGTATTATGTGATCATGGAAATGATTATAGGTTATGTTATCAAGGTTTCCGTGATCCATTATAGAGCTATTACTTGTTTCACGGATCCCTTAGAGCTCCTCACCAGGAGACAAAGAACTGGGAGTCTGCAAGAAGCTGCACAGGAAAGAGTAACAGTTACATGTATTTATTTATTTATAACAGTCCTTACCATGTCAGGTTTTTGTGATCCTTTCTGATTATTGGGTGGTACCAGTTCACTAGCAGAGTCTGATACTGGGATTTGCTGGGTGATGAAGGTTTGATCTTGAAACTTACTTTCATCCCTGCAATAATAAAATACAAACCATACACACATGAAACCTGGTTCAGAACAATTATTTGAGCCCTTAAGTCCATTCTGACACATAGTGACCCTGGAAGGCAGAGCAGAACTGCCCCATAAGGTTTTGTAGGTTGTAATCTTCGCAGCAGCAAATTACCAGGTCTTTTCTCCCACAGAGCTGCTGATGGGTTCAAGCATTTATCCACTGTACCACCCAACTCCAGCACAGTTAAGCTGCCCAAAAGAGACTTTATGATTGAAGTTAATGAAAACTTACTAGACATAACCAAAAACCTTAAGGGGATGAACTATTGTGTGTTGGGGCTCAGGAATATAGTCTGAGGTCAACAGCAAGGTCACCTAATGTAACATAGTCCAGAAAGATAACGTTTTAGGTCCTGCTTTGGTGAATAGCAAATTGAGTGTTAAAAACTTGTGAGCAACCATCTAAGGTACAACTATTGATTTCTTCTTGCCTAAAGGAAATAAGAGAGATAAAAAACAAAACACATGGAAACAATTTGTCTGATGGACTAATTGTCCATTTGACCATCAGTCTTCCTGACCATGAGACCAGAAGAACTAGATGGTGCCCAGCTACCACTACCAACTGCTCAGAAAGGAGTCAGTAGAAGTTCCTGGATAGAGTGGGAGAACAAGACTCAAAAGCAGCCTTACTGGTGGAACCCCCAGACTATGACTCCTAGTCACAATTCAAGTCTGGATAGGAACTCTTCCCCATGACTCAATTGTCATCCAAGCAACACACAGGTCTATAAAGGGAACAGTAATACTGTGAGGTATGCAAACTTAAAATGATCAACCACACAGAATTTACCCAAAGGGAAAGTTCAGAAGGGCTAGGGAAGAAGAAGGAATGGAATACACAGGGAAGAAGTCGGGTAAGTAATATTACATTGAAGGGATTGCAATCAACACCATGAAACAAAGTATGTTTGAACTGTTGAATGTAAAACTGGCGATCTGATCTATAAACCTTCACCTGAGTCACAATAAAAAAGTTAAAAAGAAAAGAAAAAATCATTGTGATTAGGCTACTGTACATTGCTTCACAAGAAATCTTACCCAAATTCCTTTGTTTCTCCATTGTCAGAAACAATATAGTCTGGAACTGGAGGCTTACAACTCTGGCTGTATTTCCTGCGGTGGGAAAAATCAACAAACAGTGAGGCTGCATCTCCTCCCACCAGTTCAACTACATTTTCAAAGTGCTAAATGAAATTCAATCAGTCGGACGGCCTTCTTACCTTTAAAAATTAGCTTTAAGGCACAGAGGCAGTAAGATGTTAAGCAAGTTTATATAAATTTATATTCTCTTGGAATTGAGATGTGTTTAATTTATGATTAATATATTTGTGGAGATGATCATGATAATGATACATAACAGTCATAAATAGTGAAGGGCAGGTTACCAGGGTACTGACCAAAAACATGGCCACAAAAGTTCCTTTCTGACACAAAAAAAACCTCAGAACACAGAATGGTTACCCAATGGAGACAGTCCACTAGGAAAACTTCAGCCAGAACACAGAATGGTTACCCAACCGAGACAGGCCCACTAGGAAAAATTCACCTTGTACTTTGAAAAGTCTGCATTTAAGAACAGGAAATAAACATCACTAATTCAACATTCTAATTTGAAAGTGAACTTAATCAAGTTACACAAAGCATATGAGTAGGTTGATTTGCCAACAGATAGACACTTGTCCTAACTGAGGTGCATATGAAAGCAACACAAACTCATTCTACGGTGCTTATATAACATTAGTGGTGATGCATGGGGGAAATGTACCTAAGATACTAGTGTGCCTGAGTTATAACCAGAGTGGTTACTGATGTGCTGTAAAGTCCAGCCTATTGACTATGTTCACTAATATCTTTATTAGTGAAATATTATACTGTTGGATTTACAGTATGGTATTTTCAATAACCTCACATGCATGCGAAAGCTGGACAGTGAATAAGGAAGACCGTAGAAGAATTGATGCATTTGAGTTACGGTGTTGGAGGAGAATATTGAAAGTGCCATGGACTGCCAAAAGAACCAAAAGATCTATTTTGGAGGAAGTGCAGCCAGAGTGCTCCTTGGAGGCCAAGATGGCCAAACTTCATCTCTCATACTTCGGACATATTGTCAGGAGGGGCCAGTTGCTGGAGAAGGATATCATGTTTGGTAAGGTGGAGGGTCAGAGAAAAAGAGGAAGACCCCCAACGAGATGGATTGGCCAAGTGGCAGCATCGGTGGACTCAAGCGTGACAACAGTAGTGATGTTGGCCCAGGATCGGGTAGTGTTTCTGCTGTGCATAAGGTCGCTATGAGTTGGTACTAACCTGATAACTAACAACAACAACATAGTCAACTATAAACTGTCACTAACTTCTTAATTATAACACCTATCTTCATAGACTCATTTTAATCACATCTTTGAACTCAACATTTTACCATCCTATTCCGATCTTGTTTTTCCTTTGTCCAACACTGGCATACAAGGGGGCACTTCAACAATTTGTTGAAAATTTCCATTTATCTTTTCATTCCATTTTTCTAAGTACTTTTTGAAGCCCCCTTCTTATGAGATTGCAACAGAATTGTATTGTGGTACAGTTCAAGTTCAATGTTTAGTGTGAAAGATTTCACCCCAGTTCCATTTCTACAATGTTGAAAACAATATAGCATGGAACTGGAGGCCTGAAACTCTGGCTGTATTTCTTGGGGTATGGAAAAGTCAACTCACAGGGGGACATTCCGTATCTCTAGTCTGGCTTCTACCCCATCTCTTTAATATAACTCTTTGGAAGGTTATGTTAGTTATTCAGAAGTCTACAGTTCTTTAAACTCTTCCCTTTTGGTTGTACTCTTCTTTGTATCATTCCCTAATTGTACGGTATTCCTCAAGGCTCTAGTCTCTGTTCTCTATTTCTCACTCTACCTTTATCAACTCTCCTAGACTCAGCTGGAGTCCTTGTGTAGTGCTGTAGGATAAGCACTGGACTACTTACTACCTGCAAAGTTGGCAGTTCAAACCCACCAGTTGATCACTGGAAGTCCTATACAGGGTCACTATGAGTTGGAACCCACTGGACAGCACTAATAACAAAGACCCAACTACCCATCCCTCACTGAACCCATTCAAATCTCCTTCACTAAACTCTCATCTGTAGTTCAGTCACTATTCCCAAGGGCCTTAAAGGTATTCTTTCACTTCCATATATTGCCATCATCTCATAAAATAATGAAAATATTACTATTTCTTCTACCTAAAATATTTTTTTCTTACTCATTTTTTTACCTTTTTAAATTTATCTTTGAGAGGTCATCTCCATCTTGATTACCTCTTCCAAAACTGTCCTGCCTTCTCTGTGTGGCTCACATGCCCCTAATCTAGGCTTGCCTATCACTAGGCCATTCCTCTGAGACTTTCACAGTTACACATTTGTATTTATTTAACTAAATACTACATTCTCACTGGGGTCCTGGTGTGGCGCTGTATGATAAACACTGGACTGCTAAGCACATGGTGTGCAGTTCAAACCCACCAGCCACTCCTCAGAAACTCTATACAGGTTAAGTTGGAACTTACTCCACAGCACTTAACAACAAGCCCTCACCACTGCATGCCCAGAGCAGTGTAGCAATGTCTGTGAGTCCCCACTCCGTTTCTCTCCCTCTCCATGCAGGTCAGCTCTGACACCACCAGCCTAAGTACTGCTAGTGCAGGAAACATGGCTCACTCATGTGTGTTTTCCTCCAAGGCAGAGGAAAAAAGTACACACCACTAGAGAATCTGTTGTTGTTGTTGAGTGCCATCAAGTTGGTTCCGACTCATATCAACCCTATATAAGGTTTCTGAGGAGCAGCTGTTGAGTTTAAACCGCCAACCTTGTGGTGCAAACCAATTTTGCAGTCCAGCACATTAACCTACAGTGTCACATAAAGCTTTTCAACACATGGTTTCTAAGGATCATGACAATTTAATCTTCAAATTAAATATTATTTCTAATAACTCTGTGGCTTACACAAAATGTCCTCAAGCCGTTCCTATTTCTGGGCTTCTGCTGGTGCTGCCTGCTAAGTCCTTGTCTGGTGGGCCCTCTCCTCTCTCTCTGTGATTGTAAGTGTCCTGGAGTCAGGTTCATCTCATAGCGAACCTGTATAGGGTTTCTGAGGCTGTACATCTTTGCGGGAGCAGAAAGCCTCGTCCTTCTCCTGCAGAGCAGTTGGTGGGTTCGAACCACCAACCTTGTGGTTTGAAGTCTAGTGCTTATCCTACAGAGCCATCGTGTCCCATCTTCTCTAGAATCCTCTAATTAATGAAGGCACCTCACTGAATCACACTTCTTTTCAGGAAATGTCTTCTTCCCTGACTGACAAATTGCCTGAGCTCCTATTATGCATGATTGTGCCACCTAATTTTTTCCTTGCTGGGTTTGGTTTTGTATGGCCTGATTATAGCTAGTCATTTTGGATCCAGGGCGATGTCTTTGAATTCTTTTGGATTTCCAATAGTACCTAGCAAAGAACCAATCACATAACAATCAATCAAAAGTGCTTTACTTATTTTACTGTGCAGTACTGGGGTTATTGCTGTCGTTGTTGTTAAATACCCTTGAGTCAGTTCCAACTTGTAGCGACTCTGTATAAGGTTTCCAAGGAGCAGCTGGTGGGTTTGAACCTCCTATCTTGTGGTCAGCAGTGCAGTGCTGATCCTACAACACCACACCAGGGCTCCACCAGGGTCATAGTCACTTATAAAATACATAGTGGAGAAATAGAGAGGAAGTAATTATTAAAAGGAATTTGGAAGGGCTGCAGATTTCTATTTCTGTCTTGGTACTGGACTCCTGATGTGGCACTGTAGGATCAACACTAGACTGTGAACCACAAAGTAGACAGTTCAAACCGACAAGCTGCTCCTCTGAAACCCTATACAGGGTTGCTAAGAGTCAGGAACCGAGTCAACAGCACTTAACAACAGCAATCTTGGTATTGTGGATTCTCTTGATAATTGTTTTTGCTGCTAAGTGTCACCAAGTCCATTCCAACTCATAGCAGCTAGTGGGTTTAAACCTCCAGCCTTCTAGTTAGCGATCCAGTGCTTATCCTATAACATCACACAAGGACTCCTTATTGCTAATAATGAACTTAAAAATCACTTACTTACCTTTGCCAAGTAATAAAATCTGAACTGCTATACTTCTCAAGTTGCCACTCATTTAACTGAGCAATATTATAACTTATGAACAACCAATAACCTAAACATCTATGATTAATCTCTCCATCCCCACTTTAACTACAATCTAACTTTTATTTCCCTATTCATTTATTCCATTTATCTTCAATTCTTTATTTCTGGGAGTCGTGGCTAAGCAGTGGGATCCTTTTATATTTTCTGGGTCTTTCCCATTTCTTTAATTCTAAATGAGAGTAAGCACATTGTCCTTAGAAGGTCTCTAGGTTTTTAACAACTTGATATATTTCATTGCAAAGTAAGTTACCTAGGAACAAAGCCATTCATTTTTGCAAAGAGCAGTCTCAAGACTTTTTCCTTCTGCTCCCAGGTCAAGTCTCCAATATCCACATTTCCTTGAGTATTTGTCCTGAAGAATTTCAAAGACAAAAATGAAAAGAAGAAATATGGTCAAAGTAGACTTCTTTTCTAAAAAATGAAAACATGAAGACTTGAGAAAGGCTGCTTAACATAACTGAATATTATGGAATTTGCTACGTAATGACAGCAAAACCACCAGTGTCTATTACAAAATTGAAGTTGAAAAGATATTAATATGCTAGCCAATTTGAAATGTTATGTAGTCATTAAGATGAAAATACAAAAACTTTAATATTGAAAATATCTGTGCTCAAATATTAAGCAACTAATAAGCACAATATAAAACTGTAATATTTCATTAAGTATCCAGATACATACAAAGTCAAAGAAAACATTAAAAGAAAATTGTTTGGTGAGATTTTGTCCATTTTTTTTTCTCACAACTTTTTTTTGGGGGGGTGGATTTTTTATTGTGCATTGAGTGAAAGTTTGCAGAGCAGACCATCAGTTTTACATTCAACAAAGCATATACTATGTTTTATCTCAATGATTGCAATCTCCTACATGTAACAACAGTTATCCCCACTTCCTCCCTGTGGGACAACATTTCTTTTTGAATTATAAATTTTCTAAAAACAGTGAACTCCTGGTGTGGCGCTGTAGGATAAGCACTGGACTGTTAAGCACAAGGTTGGTGGTTCAAATCTACCAGTTGCTCCTAGGAAATCCTATACAGGGTCACTATGAGTCATAACTGACTCCACGGCACTCAACAACAACAATGAAAACAGTGACAAAAGGTAAATTTAGAAAATAACATAAAACTTCCCTACTCAATGGCACCTAACAACAACGCCAACTTTATTTTCATTCCCAAATAAGGCGGCAACTAAACTTTCCAGGCATGTCTTTACCTATACTACAACTTTTCCAAAGGCATCATCATCTACTTGCTATTTACAAAAGAATATTGATGCTGCATAATGCAAGTGCCATGGACTGCCAAAAGAACCAATAGATCTGTTTTGGAAGAAGTGCAGCCAGAGCGCTCCTTGGAGGCCAGGATGGCTAAGCTTCGTCTCTCATACTTTGGACATATTGTCCGGAGGAGGATGTCATGCTGGGTAAGGTGGAGGGTCAGAGAAAAAGAGGAAGACCCCTAACGAGATGGATTGGCCAGGTGGCATCATTGATAGACTCAAGTGTGGCAGCGATAGTGAGGTTGGCCCAGGATCGGACATTGTTTCATTCTACTGTGCATGGGGTCGCTATGAGTCGGTTCTGACTCGATGGCACCTGACAACAACAACAATGCAAGAAATATTTTTGCATGTAAGTCAATTGTATTGTTTTTGTTGAAAATTTTAGGTTTTGCCTTATGTTCATCATATACTTCTACTACTGTCCCCCTAACTACCTCTTAAACAGTTGCTATATAATTTGAATCACTGTCTTTGCACTGTTGCAATACACAAAAGTAGAGTAGCTAGAAGGACATTGAAGTTAAGGTGGTAACTCGCACAAAGAGTCCAATTTCTGCAATAATAACACGGGCAACATTATGTTTAAATTCCTTGGAAACAAATACCACTTTACTATGCTGTTGTTGTTAGGTGTCACTGAGTCAGTTCTGGCTCAAGCAGAATGAAATTACCCAGTTCTGTGGCAGACTCACAACTGTTGCTTATGTCTGAGCCCATTGCTGCAACCACTATGTCGACCTATCTTGCTGAGGGTCTCTTCCTCTTTTTCTACTGATTCTCTAATAAATACTGACTCTCCAGATGCTGCTCCCTCCTAATACCATGTCCAAAGTGTGTGACACATAGTCTTGTCATTCTTGCTTCTCAGGAGCATTCTGGTGATACTTCTTTCCAAGACAGGCTTATTTGTTCTTCTAGAAGTCCTTGCATATTCTTCACCAACTCTATAATTCAAAAACATCAGTTATTCACTCTTTCTTATTCACTGTCCATCTTTCATACGTATAAGGAGATTGAAAATGCCATGGCTTGGGCCAAGGACACCTTAGTCCTCAAAGTGACATCTTTGTTCTTTAACACCTTAAAGAAGTCTTTTGCAGCAGATTTGCCCCCATGCAATGTATTGTTTGATTTCTTCACTGTTTCTACCAAGGGCACAGATTGTGAATCTAAGTACAATGAAATTCTAGACAACTTAAAACTTTTCTTCATTTATCATTATGTTGCTTATTGGTCCAGTTGTGAAGATTTTTGTTTTATGTTGAGGTGTAATCTAATATAGTCTTTGATCTTCACCAGTAAGTGCTTCAAGTCCTCTTTACTTTCAGCAATCAAAGCTGTGTCATCTGCATATTCATCTGCATGTCATCTGCATAATGAGTCTTCTTCCAATCCTGATGTTGCATTCTTCTTCATACAGTCAAGCTTCCTGGCTACTTTGCTCAGCACGTTTTTGTTGTTGTTAGGTGCCATGGAGTCGGTACTCGACTTTATGCACAGAACGAAACATTGCCTGATCCTGGGCCAACCTCACTACTGTTGCCACGCTTGAGTCCATCGATGCTGCCACTTGGCCAATCCATCTTGTTAGGGGTCTTCCTAAGTATTATGAAAGAATACAATGCTATGCACACCTTTCCTGAATTTTAAACAATGCAAAAGTTCTGTTTGAATTACTGCCCCTTGGTCTATGTAGAGGCTCCACATGAGCACAATTAAGTGTCTTGGAATTCCCATTCATTCTTCACAATGCTATCCATAATTTGTTATGATCCACATCACTCCTGGTGTGGCACTGTAGGATAAGCACTGCGAACCACAAGGTCAGCAGTTCAAACCCACCAGCTGTTCCTGAGAAATCTTATATAGGGTTGTATGAGTCAGAACCAATTGGATGGCACTTAATAACAACACACAGTTGAATGCCTTTACATGGTCAATAAAACACAAGTAAACATCTTTCTGGTATTCTCTGCTTTCAGCCAAGATCTTTCTGACATCAGTAATGATAACTCTCATTCCATGTCCTCTTCTGATTCCAACTTGAATTTCTGGCAGTTTCCTATCTATGTACTGCTACAACCATTTTTAGATTATTAACAGCAAAATTATACTTGTGTATGATATTATACTGTTCAATAATTTCTACATTCCATTGGATCACCTTTCTTTGGAATGGACACAAATATGAGTCTGTCAGCTGGCCAGAAAACTCTCCCAGTCTTCCAAATTTCTTGACATAAAGTGCTACATCAGTTTTTTTAAACATTTCAATCAGTATTCCATCATTTCCTAGAGCCTTGGGTTTTTTTTGCCAATGCCTTGGACTTCTTCCTTCAATATCACCAATTTTTTTTTTTTAACTTTTTATTGTGAATTGAGTGATGGTTTTCAGAACAGATCATCAGTTTTACATTCAACAAATCATATACTTCATTTCATTATAAGAACTGCAATCCCTTCCACGTACAAAAGTTCACGGTACTTACCTCAGTTCACTTGAACTCTTGCACTCCTTCCTGATTACCACCAATTCTCAATTATATACTACACCACCTGAACTGGCTGAACGTTCACCAATTCTTTTTTTTTTTTAACCAGTTATTTTTGGAACAGTGGTTCAGTGTATTCATCTTCTTTTAAAGTTTTATGTGCTGTTATTTTTTGCCCACAGAATTCTTCAATATTGCATGCAACTCTAGGCTTGAATTTTTTCTTGAGTTATTTTAGCTTGACAAAAGCTAATTGTTCTACCTCTTTGATTTTCTAAATCTTGGTCTTTGCATATTTCATTGTAATACTTTATTTTGTCTTCTGGAGTTGTCCTTTGAAATCGTCTGTTCAGCTCATAAACTTTATCATTTCTTCCTTTCATTTCAGCTACTCTACATTTATGAGCAAGTTTCAGAGTCATTTTTGACATTCGTCTTTTTTTTCTTTACTGTCTTTTAAATAACCATTTGCTTTCTTCATGTTTGATGTCCTTGATGCCACCCCACAACTCCGGCCTTTAGTTATTAGTGTCCAATGCATTAAATCTATTCTTGAGATAAGTCTCTAAATTCAGGGGGAAATATACATACTAAAGCTTGTACTTTGACTCTCATGAACTTGTTTGAATTTTCTTCAGCTTTAATTTAAATTTGCATCTAAGCAAATTATGTAATCTGTTCCAGTTGGCTCCTGGTCTTATTCTGACTGATGATACTGAGGTTCTACATTGTTTCTTTCTACAGATATAGTCAATGTAACTCTTTTGTAGTCCATCCAGTGAGGGCCGTGTATATGGTAGCCGCTTATACTGTTGAAGAAAGGTGTTCCCAGTGAACCACTGGCCTTGCAAAATTCTGAAGACAAGGACGTATTTTCCAACTAAGTATTCCAAAATATTTGTTCCTATTTCCAAGTTTCACATTCCAGTCACAAATAATTGTCAATGAAACTTGATTGCATGTTTGATCGATTTCAAACTGCAAAAGTCGTAAAATTTTCAATTTCTTCATCTTTGGCATTAGTGGTTGGTGGAACTATTTGAATAACAGTTATATTAACTGGTCTTCTTTATGTTGTTGTTGTTAAGTGCCATCAAGTTGGTTCCGACTCATAGCGACCCTGTATGAGGTTTCCAAGGAGTGACTGGTGAGTTTGAACTGCCACCCTTATGGGTCAAACTGACCTTGTGGTCAAGTGCACTATCCTGCAGCGTCACACCATGACTCCTGTCTTCCTTATAGGCATCTGGATATTATCCTATCACTGACAGTGTTAGTGAAAGATCTTGAAATGTTCTTTTTGACAATGAATGTGATGCCGTTCCTCTTCAATTTCTCATTCCTGGAACCGTAGATCACGTGATTATCTGATCCAAATGGCCAGTACCAAACCATTCAGCTCAGTAATGCCTAATGACTATCAATCCTCAAGTGTTTCATTTATTTTTAACAACTTCCAGTAGATAAAATGTGTAAAAGAAACTGCCTTATGTATGATAGTAAACTTTTTTACTTAATAAATGAAAAGAGGACATTATAGTGCATTTCTTGGTAACAGAAGTGGTATCACAAACTTTTGAATAAGGTAAAGTAAAAAATTACAATAGGGGCACTTGTGAAGAAGAGCACTATCTTTCAGAGACTTCCAAAAGCCACTGTGCATGCCCAACTTTCCCAACAGGCTTGTAATTTAAAACAATCTACAAATTATTCCATCAAAAATATTTAAGCACTCTTAATTAAGAGGAAAATATTGAAAGTACAATGGGCTGCCAAAAGAACCAATAGATCTATTTTGGAGGAAGTGCAGCTAGAGTGCTCCTTGGAGGCTAAAATGGCCAAACTTTGTCTCTCATACTTGGGACATATTGTCAGGAGGGACCAGTCACTGGAGAAGGAGATCATGTTTTTTTTGGTAATCAGAGAAAAAGAGGAAGACCCCCAATGAGATGGACTGGCCAAGTGGAAGCAACGATGGACTCACATGTGGCAGCAGTAGTGAGGCTGACCTAGGATCGGGCAGTGTTTCGTTCTGCTGTGCATAAAGTCGCTATGAGTTGGTACCGATTTGATGGCACCTAACAACAACAACAATATGGTAAGTACATGATAGTTGGAATACTTTTAAGCTTCTTAGCTAGGGTTTTTTAATTTTTTAATTGCATTGGAATGTAAGTTTTTTGTTTTCAAAATAATCTTCACAATGGATTACAATTTAATCCAAGGTTTCTATATGGGAAGAGTTCTCTAATAGACACACAAAAAATCATTGTATGTTCTCTGCAACTGCCTCAAGAATTCTTCTACCTCTATAATAGTGGCACTTTGGAAATTTGTGGGGACCTTTGGTTAACACTATGACGGAGGGGCACTAGTGGCTGTCCTCAGTCCATGTGATACTTCTGCACAACAAAGAGTTATTCCAATTTAGGCATGACATTGACTTTTAAATTATATCTTTACTTAGATATTATTACCTATACATTTCATCTCAGGCTAGTAAAGGAAACATTCCAAAATCTTTGTGAAGTAGTGTTCACTTTGGCAGTACATATAGTAAAACTGGAATGGTACAAAGATTAGTTATAGCATGTCCCTTGTGCAAGGATGACATGCAGTGGCACACACATTTGAAGGCATTCTGTATTTTAAGAATATATACATATATGCATATATATATATTTGTAACATGCTTATCAAAATGTTTCAATTGAATGTATCAGGTTTTTACAACTGATTTACAATTTATAGGAAACAAGGTAAAGGAACAAATTAGAATGTATTACAATGACATTTTATGGGACAAATAATCTAATAACTTAAGAGTCTCTCTTGTCATCAAAGGGGAGGCACCGTCTAAGAAGCCCCATCACTTTGCTAATTAAGCATATGGATTACAATCAGTCAGTTCCTGTCCCTGATTGATTGTACCAAGAAATACACTTCGTAATCTACTCAATACTTGGATATTATCAAATTGAACTTTTCAGAGTTCTTATTTCTCTGTAAGGCATAAAAACAGCAACACAAATGAAACGTATTAAAATAATTATTAGTACCATTTCTCAGCCTCCATAAGATCCTGATTCACACTATTGGTGCTATGCTCTCTGCCATCAAATGTTCGAATTTTGGGATATTCTGCTTTTCCTGCACATGCTGCTCTCATTTTTAAATTGAAAGCAGTTTGTGCTATCTTCTTATAATGCTTCCTGTTAAATAGAATTTGTTGCTTTACTTGGTGTAGCGCATCCAAAAAGAACTTTTCCACCTCTGTTCTCTCATCCAGTATGTTCTTGGCCAGCTTCTTCACTCGATTCATTTCTCTGTCCTTCATTTTAAGAAGTTGCTGTAGCTTTTCAATTTCTACTTGACCCGCTTGGTTCTCTATGGTTGCTTGCTGCTGCAGTTTTAAAACTTCAGCCTCAAACTCTCTGGTCATACAAGTCAAGGCAGTCTCCAAGCTTATCACCTTTTTCTGAAGACTTTGGATTTGTGATTTCTGCTGGTTAAGTTGCATAATTTTTTCCTTAACCAACAAGTCATTTACCTCCTAAAAACAGAATTATGAGAGAGGTAAAAGATTAGTGTTTTTCTTTAGTAATTCCAGTACTCCCAAGTTATTGACTAACTTTCATTATGTCATGGGATTTCAGTCTGATGCCTGGTGGAGAAGGTGCTATTCTGGTATCTATGTATAGACAGCAAAAAACATACTAGGTTCTTTTCCTGGACTTGTAAAGCCAATTCACTTATTTTTAACAAAAAAACCTTCTTTCCTCTAAAATTCTGAAAGATGAGATATTTTGCGTTACCAAAGGGTAATTAATTCAAATTCAACAAGACTGTGCAATAAAACATTAACAACTATACAAGAGGTTTCAAAAAGTTTGTGGAAAAATTTCATTATCTTTTCATTCCATTTTTCCATGAGCTATTTAAAGCCCTCCCATATACTGGGAAAGGAGCTCTAGTCATAGGGATGACAAATCGGGCTGCTAATCTTAACGGTCAGCAGTTCGAAACTACCAGCTGTTCCGTGGGAGAAAGATGAGGCTTTCTGCTCCCGTAAAGATTTATAGCCTTGGAAATCCTATGCAGGGTCTCTATGAGTCAGAACTGACTCCACGGCACACCACCAATTGCAACAAGAGTTATCCCACTTCCTCCCTGCGGTTCCTATTCCCATTCCACACTCCTTCTCATCCCTTCTCAACTTTGTCCTTAGGTAAATGTTGCCCTTTTGATTTTGAATGCATGACCATTCCATGGTGAGCATACTTTATTAGTGTTGTCCCCCTATGTACCTATCTACTGCTTGGCTGAAAACTGGGTAATGAGAGTGAGTTCCTTTTCAGACCTGAAGGGTGGTTGGACCTTTTTATTATTACTATTTTTAACTTTTATGAATTGAGTGAATGTTCATAGAGCAAATCATCAATTTTATATTCAACAAACCATACACCTTTCTTCACTACATGGTTGCAATCCTCTCATGTACTAACAGTTCACACATTTACCTCTATTTACTTTAACTATTGTATT